TTCAGTGATGATAAAAACAATATTTTTAATTATTTTAAAATAATAATCTTCCTTACTAAAGTATGCTTCTTCTAATATAAACATATACAACGTCTAATTCTATTTTCCATATAACTCTGCTGTCTGCTATATCTGATCTATCTAATCCAGAACAATGATTTTCAAGCAGTGTTTTATAATTTTTTGTTTTCGTCTTTAACAGAGATATATAGAATTTATGATGACTTCCCTCAACAAATGCTTTGTGCCACTTAAATTATTATGTTCATACATATATATATTTTTGCTTTAATTTACTATTTATGAGTATTAAGTATTTTTCTGTCACTGCTTCTATCACAGTCTGTTCAAATTCTGCTCATGACCGGCAACAGTCACATTTTACCATAGTACATACATATATGTATTTGAATTCAGTATAAAATTTAAACGTTTAAAAACATAACTAACATGCTAACGAATAGCTTAATAAATGTGTATGTTTAATCTCTTCATTTCCTAACATTCTCTAAAATAACATTCTCTAGAAATAATATATAAGAATGGTGTTTATTATTAAAGTACATAAGAAATAGATCTCCTACTTTTCCAAACTAGAGGAATATGTATATAAATCTTAGTTCATTTTAATCCAGCGTCTTATTCTAACTTTAAATTGTAATTTATACTCCTACCAGTTATACATATTCATTACCCTTTGTTGTTACATTTAGCCAGATTAAAATCCTTTATTTACGTTTGAGCAAGTCAACCACTTTGTTTAAATTTGCACTAACTTCCTTATTAGATGACAATCCATAGTTTTTTATGGTCAACATTTGCTTACATCTTAAATTTATTCAGATCGAACTACTATAGCATATAGTTTTCACAAAACTGAGTGATCAACCTGAGTAAGTGTATATTAAGTTTGCCACTTAGTTTGTAATACCCAGAAGCAGTTAATATATATATAAGAGAGTAAAATCAGCCGGAAGTTCAAAAATATTTATATTGGGTAATGGTATTTACCCAATTCCTTATTTGACACACAGACATACTATTATTAGAAAGCTTTCTCTCCGAATCTCAATTATATATCTACACATTAACCGATATAATATTAGGTAAAAAGTCAGCTATGCGCAAAAATTCGTTTTTAATAATTTACACTTCAGAGTGGCACTAAAATCGACATTATTATCAGATATTATTACTGTCATAAACTTACAAATATATCTATGCAGGTCTGTGAAATTTAGAAATCGCTCGATCGCCATATTTTCTCACCGACTCTAAAAACAGTGTTTAAAGTTTTAGGGGCCGATTAGACAATTTAAAAATTCTTAATTTCGCTCATATCTGCGAAACTATTTGCCGCATCACTTAAATCTATTCGATGCTTTTGTAGCTTTGCAGATCCTTCGAGTTTCTTGTAATACTTTTAAAATTAAACGATCACTGTTTGAATCCAAACACATACAAACATTACATATATTAAAGCAACAAGCCTAACACAGCAAAATGTTGAATTTAATGAGATTCTTTCTAAATAAAACAACGAAACTGCGAGATAATAAATAGTTGGCGTGCCGAAGAGTGGTGGCGAACTGCCGATGTTAGGAATCGAAGAACAAAGGCTATACACCGAATAACATGAGTATATTCATACAGTATGTATGTAGGTAATTAAACCATTTAAAGGAAAAGCACACACACATTCTGACAATATGTGCGAAATTCTCATACGCCTCCAAAATTTTAATGTACTAAAAATTAAAAACAAAACCATTATCAATTTGATCAATTTTGTAAAATTTCAGTTCCGTTCGCTTATACATATACAGACATATCGCATTTTAAGTTGACTCTGCTCGTATATTTATAGTTATATACACTACGCATCGAATAAGTTTACATTTCAAATAGTTTTTCAGTGCAGTTAATAAAATAAATAGATAAAATATCATACAATTTTATTATATTTCCATGGGTGTTTAAATTATAATATGAACATATCTTTTCAAAATCGAAACAAAAGTATTTTTAACCTAAAAATGGACTCTAAACATGGGTCGTCAAAGATTAAAGTTCAAAAATTTTGATTGAAAGTAAATTTTATAATTGCTTGTAGTGTTCCCAACTTTGTTCTGAATTACTCCTCGTAAGCGTTTTGGCATGCTTCGACCAATTTTCTAATATTTCCGCCGAAATATTGTCCCATTACCTTCATCTCTGGAAAAATGACTGCGGTTTGTGCGGCTGATCTTTGGTATTTTCGAGTTCTCATGACAAAATGCATAAATGATTTAATCCGGCGATTGAGCTGGCTAGTTCAGTTTTCAATAAAATCATCTTGTTGGAACCCGTACCATTCTTTACGCACTTATTGTCAAATTTTCGCTAAGATGTTCACATTGTAGCACCCGTCACTCTCCATCGTTGAACTAAGTACCTACACTGAATTTGAAAACAACCAAAAACCATGAGAGAATCGCCTCCATGCTTCACTGTTGATTGTATGCATTGTGGGTTTAAGCGATCAGATTTACACCACCTCCTTTCGTTTTGTTCTAATCAAGAATTACTTTGTCCCAAAATGCGTTGGCATGTTTAGATATTGTCTGCGAACTCAGTCCATTTTCCTATTTACGATGGAAATTATAGGCGTTTTTGAGACGTAGTTTTCAAACCAAAAGTTCCACCAATTGAGTAATATTTAAAGAATCCTAAGTCTACTTTATTAGAATTTCCATTTTTGTTTTGGTCCTAGATGATCTAACACTTAAATCATTTATGCTTTAATTAATATAGAAATAAAATAAAAATAAAGAAAAGTGTAAAATTGGAAAATACCCGGCGTATCAACCTTTGTCCCTAGTTAAATATTTAATATCTTTACTAAAAACAGTTAAGAGGGTATTCTAGTTTAGAAATTAGAAAAATCATTTTTCATAATTCGATAGTTTAGATACTTAGAATATCCATAAAAGGATTTTTCAAAATTCTGATTATTTCCGGAGTAAGCCGTTTTAGTGTCGTGGCAACTGGACCGTTTAGTTTTAACTTACAACGTTAAACGCGTTTTCTCTACTTCTTCGATGCACACTTTCACTGATTAGAAACACCTATGCATCGTTACTTGTAGATGCTTTAACGAATGACTCGTATGATTCATTTGTATTCTCATCACAGTGGTAGATTTGCATAAATTGATCCCTCACCCTCCGACTTGAGCTCTCACCGAAATTTCTGTAGAAAAGTAACGGTCCTATTGGTCTATAATGCAATAAAAGCATCTGCCGAGGCAATGAAACCTACAGTATATAGATCATCAAGTAAGTGTGTGTTCAGAAAAACCAAAGGTCACTGTTTTCAAACCACCCGCGTATTTCTGTTTGATTGTATTTTGTACATTTTCACATTCGATTTCAATGCTATGATACCCTACGCATATACTTTATGTATTTCGGCATACTATATTTGTATAATAAGTATGTCTTGCCAAGCAAAACAAGTTTCATCTTCGAAATTCAAGTTGACTCTCAGTCTCTTCTTCCCACACAGCAAGGGTGACGAATACCAGCCTTGTTTAGATACTGATCAAGACTGTAGGTGCTAAAATTTACACGCAATATGTTTTAAATGAAAACTGCACCATCTAATTTGATTAACACCATATACTGGGGCGTTAAGATTAAGAACTGTTGCTGCATGAGATTTGCCGAACTCATGCGTCAATCGTACTCAATTGTTATAGTAATTGGAAGTTTTCAGAAATATTTTATATATTGCTTAGAGGACGCCATTGATTTTACTGCGTAAATTTTATAAATACTACTTTCTCACTATACAGAGTCTCACAGCTACATGCATCAAAACAGTTCGCTTCGGCTACGTAGTTGTTGGTTGGGACTTATAAGCTCTAACGGAATCCTGATTTTGAAATTACCTCAACGGAAGGTAATTATAATGTAAAATGTTTCAATTGGTATGATTGACTCTTCCAATGTACTACCGAAAACACTTTTCATTTAGGAACCCAATTACACAGGTTTATAAATAATTAATTTTTCAAGATTTAAACTATTTAATTCCCATTTTAAGAGCTCAAAATTTTACAGTTCTTCTGGTTATGTCGTTTTCAGAATAATTTTCTCAATATATTCTTTTACAACTATATCCTAAGTGGGATTGCAAGCGATTGTTGCCTTATGTATGATACAAGTCTAGATAAAATGTGTAAGTTTCGCATGATTCGATGTCAGAACTTTTAAATATAATATTTGTAGATATTAAGGTTAAGTTAGGTATTTAAAAGTAACAAGGGACCTACTCAGACATTTTGAACTTATTTGATGCCCGAAAATTGATGTAGATTACCAGACGACGGCTAATATCTCCAACCTATTCACAAAGTTTAAAGAAATTTAGCCTCCTGACAATTAAACATGTTATATAAGTCCAATCAGAAATGCTACAATTTCAGAGATAATCCTTGCTGAAAGCAATTAGTTCAAAGGACCGCTTACGCTTCATACTGGGTCAGAAGGACATCGAGGCCGCACAAGTTTGGGTTGTTTACGAGCGCTTGCTGAGCCAGTCTGGTCCATAAATTCAGAGTAAGAGTATAACGGACTCACTCTCAATCTCATGAAACTGGGTTAAAGTTGCTCTCTGTACAAGTATGAGTAAGAAATATGGATTAAGCTTCGGTTACTTTTATAAAAGCCAGCATTAGGACCCAATCAAATCGTAACTCAATAAATATATTGATTGATATTTTATTTTCAAAAGTAGGGCTCTTTAGTGTTACCATATAACCCGTCCAATGTTACTACGAGCGCAAAGTAAAAATTAATATTCACGTATATATGATTGAATGATTTATAATGTATATATAATAATATTGCGAAACTACTGCCTATTAAAATGTTTTAAAAACGAACGGCTTAAATTTTATTTATCCGATTTAATTTTGCAAATTATATTCATATCACAAATTTAGAGGAATACCCTTTCTGTGGATACAAGCAAGTGTACTGATCAGAGTAATTGTAAATAGCACAAATTTAGGGGAATTCCTTTTAACGTTCTTAACGTTCATATATTTGACGCAGTACAGCGATGAAGCTGTAGGCCTTACTCATTACGTTCGTAAAACTGGGCAACGACAAGTCGACAAATCCACCGCCAGTAAAATTAAACGGTTGTTGGGCGTTGAGCAAAAAAATGGCGAGCGACTTTCGAAATCGTTGATCGAAGCGATACCAAGACGAGCCATAACCATGAGCAGCGAGAGTTTTATTCTAAAAAGAGCAAATAAAAGATAGAAAATAATAATCATATATAAAATTACTCGAAACAGGCACTTCAAAATTTTGCAGACCTGTTCATTAACCTCATTGCCGAACCAACAATAGCCGAAAAGCTGTGTAAAAATGCAAAAGCAATAGAAATAAATTATCATCTCACTGTTGGAATTACTAGAGTTTATAGTCGCTTGAAAGCCCGTCACCGCAGATATAACTTAAGAAGTGAAGAATTGCAGCAATATGGACAGGCGAAATATGGATTCAACGTCATCACGCACGCTAAAAGCAAATATGGGCAAAAGAAGTAAGAAGAAGAAAAGAAAATGGTTCATATATTATATTTACAGTGCGCAACAACCAACAGAGAGCTAGCTAACTCAAAATAAGGCTGAACTCTTGCGAACATCCGCTAATGTGACGTCAGAAGACACATGTCATTCTCAAAATGGCTTTTCGTTTCTCTCATTATACTCACGACTTTAATATACAATGATGCTCCACAATGTCAGCCATTCGTGCATTAGGATCACGTATACGCTTCATATCGCTTCTCACGTGATATTCGTCCAAAATGAGTTCATCAAAAGTGGATTTAATGATATTCAAATGGCATCGTAGTAAATTCATCATGCTTATATTTAAGTAATCAACTGTGACAATTTGCACGGCAAACATGAAATCAGTGACACCTATATAGAACACCTGCATGAAGAACGGCAACCAAGCGGGCATTGTAACACGATATGGAAATATTTGACCAGCCAAGTCGGGATCTGAAAAATAACGAAGAATATCTGATTTGAATTGCATGCATCCATTGTATATATTAGTGTTGCCAACTGATTTCAAAAACACAATGAATGTAGAGTGGAATGAAGGGCAAGTAATTTTAGAATATTTGCGGTTGGGGTATATTTTATAAAGAAGTCCATGCGACAGCTCGTGAAATAGTCGTTTGCTTTTCACTTTTAATCGGAGATGACGATAACAAGTCGATTTCTGTGGTTAAACATATTTTCTGGATCGAACATTGTTTGCATTTCAGTATACCTGATATAGTTCTTCTACCATATATAGATCTTCCATGCATGATATGAAGCTATTGAGAAAAACAGTGTTGGCAACACTGTTTAGATATTATTATTTTCTTACTTATGAAAACTGAAACCATCGCCACAAAACCGGTGAAGCCAACCACGGTGGCGTAAATGACAAGAAAGAGCTTATTTTCCATTTCAGCACGGGTAAATATCTTGTGCTATTGTAAAGAGATTATTTATAAAATACTTAAATACATTTATAAACATTATTATTTTAAGTATTTTAATTTAAATGCAATAACACTTAGAACTTATCGAGGCCTGAAAGCAACGTAGATCTCAGCTTAAGGTTGTAATTCCGTACCAGTTTCTCAGGCCTAATGGCTCTCAACGCTTATTTAACTTAAGAAATTTATAGCTGAATAAAGTGCTGAATCTGTAAACACATGGAAAGTTTAGACTAGCGTTGCATTCTTACTTGCGTATCCGTTTTAATGTATGACTTCGTAGCGTGTTTCAGCTTCAAAATTGCTGTCTGCAGTGTTCTCAAGTGGAATAATACGTTATAAATCTGCAAAAATGCATGACTTTACAATAATGAAAATCTGTAAGTATATATATCGTAGGCACCTTCAAAGCGCCAGCGAAATGCGACATTGTCAGACAGAAGTTTTGTGTGAACGCATAGAAATCCGGCCAACAAATATACAAATCATAGAATTCGAAAAGAATGTAGCAAAAATTTGTGAAAGTGAAAACACTACCGCAGATCAGCAATAATACATTCACAAGCTGTGATCGGCGTAGCGGCACAAACCATGGCGATAACGGTACGCCCGACATTTGTGATAGCCAAATATTGAATTCAATTGAACCGATTTGCCCTTTGCCCGCCTCAGAGGGGAATACACGGAAATACACTTGTTTAAGTTGTTCTAGAAATTCAGCCATTTTACTTTGCGCTTTCGAAACACACACCGAAATGGTTGTGCGCCTTAAAGTATGTTTATATTTATAGAAATTATTTTGTTTTCATTAAGTTTGCACACTAATTATATGGGTATCGACTTAAGGCGTCACAGCGTTAAAGAGTCAAAGGTTTTTGTTAGCGTAAACTTAATTAATTAATAACATGTGTTGGTCAAAACGTCTCGAATGACCCGTTAATGAATTAATTACTTTAAACGAAGCCATTTTGACGTAGTTTTCTTATACACGAGTGTAATTATATTGTACAGATTGGCTTTGATTAACAAACTGTTTGTTTGTTATTGTTGTCACACGTATTTATAGAATAGCGCAAATCTTTTTCTCTTCGTTCTTTCAACACTCATTGCATAATCACAATTTCTGATCGAAATCTAGAGTTACGAGAATGGCCATGGGGAAAATCTATGCTATTATGCACCTATCATTTTGATTCAACATATAGATAGATAGTCAACATCTTTAGCTCCAAAATTCTCTATTTGGGAAACTACTATCTATCTACTTACCGAGGATTTAGGATAATTTTTGGGAACCTAATCAACGTGACGGCAATATGGTTCTCACTGTGTTATCTTCTAATGCGACTGCTCAGATATAGGGAGTTCTTAAGTAATTGGTTCTAGAAAATGCGTACCTAAATTTAGTGCTTCTTACTTCAGAGCAGCTAATACAAAGCTAGCTAAATTTTTCAAAAAATTCAATCTTATACATTATAATTGCCATCGAGGACTATACATTGATTGCAACGATCTGATTTGTCTCTTGCTACGAAATAGATTTCTGTCTTAGCGATCGCTTCTTCATTGTCACTAAATATGTTTCTAGCGTGCATTTTATTGAGGTCTGAGTACGGAAACCAGTCACTGGCGGTTCGATTCGGAGAATGCAAACATTTTATTTTTCTTTGAACTAAGCAAATTTTTCGACAATCGAAATATTCTTGAACGATATGTCTAACCATTACCTTAGGTAACTTTAGTATCAACTTTGTTTGAACCCAGATAACACTCATCAAGCTATCTTTTATTATCAGAAGCATTTTCCCCCAAAAAATTTATTTTTTATCAACTTTTTCAGGACTGAACTTGAAAATGTAAGACTCTGCTAGAAGACTCTCGAATCAAACTGTTCACTTTATCGAAATACTACTGTATGCTTTTAGGCATGTTCGTTTTCGCACTTGCCATGTCAACTATGACTATAAATAAATGAAAATCTATTTATTGCCGTAAAACAAACCTATTCGAAAGGCTTTTTATTTCATTTATATAATACTTTGCAATGAGTTAGTTGAAGTATCATGGCGACATGGGATGGCATACAATGCTGTAACTCGAAAAATGTCGATAAAACTCAGAGTCTTACAATAGGCTAATTAGATTCGCAATAATATATATCTAATATTTCTCTTTGGTTTTGGGGACCAAATGTTTGCGTGAGACAATGATAAAGATAATTTTCGATCTTAGCGAATTTTACTACAAAACTTGCTGGAATTCTGCCGAAATATGCTTAACCTATACAGAGACGGAATATCTCTCAAAGGCTTAAGCAAAATTAATGTACGGTTATAAAATGATTTAAATGATTCATTCTACAATCTTCTGTCTTTCTTTAAGTCATAACTTTTGCATATACCACCCAAATTGTTAACGATTTCCGAACACTTGCCTGAAGATGTTCTATTTAGGAAGTAGACGACCGCTTCCGTCTTACGTAAAGTCTCTTTTACAAGATCACATATACGGTGTAGTTTAAGAGCTGCAATTCGATTTAGTTAAGTTTGATAGCTTCGACTTATTGATTACATAGTCGGGCGCGTATTATAGTTGGTAAATGATAGCTAAGTGAGGATTTTTGAAAGAAAGTTAGCACATATCAGTTAAACACTATCTAAATTAAATCTTGTCCCAAGCTCTTCTGTTATTCTAAATGTTACTAACATTTTTTTTTTAATCCAATAAGTGAAACAGAAAGTAAACATAATAAAACAACAGTTATATATCGTAAGATCCGTAAGTGATGATAAATGTAGACTGCATTATAAAGTTAACCATACATATGTATACATTTTGTTTAAAACTTTTCGTGAAAGCTTTTCGCAAAAGCTTTTCATGAAAGTCCATGAATTTCAGCGTGAGTACACTTGCCGCAAGAGCGCAATAACAGTATAAGATTTACTCAAAATACCAGTGAAACTGGGAAGCGATAGAGACATGAAACCACCAGCCGTAAAAACAAACGGTGTTTGCGAATTACACATAAATATTATAAGTGATTTCTTGAAACGCTGATCGAACTCATACCAATGCGAGGCGTAACCGCTGGCGGTCAAAGTTTTGCTCTGTAAAAAATTTAAAAACCTTAAAAATATTTTTCCAAAAAATATCAATATTAATATTTATTACATTATTACACACTTACCTGCTCCGACACCTCATTGCCGAACCAACAATAAACGAATAACTCGCAAAAGATGCAGCCACAATAACAGTAAATGAGCGCAGCGCCATTTGAGTGCTCCGCTTTGACAATCGCCTGAAAGCCCGTCATGGCGAATATAATGAGTGAGGTGAAAAACTGTAAGAGCACTGGTAGGCGAAAGATATCCTCCACATCATTGCGTAAACTTTGCGGTTAGAAAGTAAGATTAAATAATGTTAAATTACAATCTAAAAAATATAAATTCGGTGACCTACTCGCGGAGCAGACAGTGATGTTCAATTATGGTTTGTAAGCGCTTGTTGAACTCTCTTTGTTCCCCCTTATTTACACAATCCAATTTGAGCTCCTCAAAAGCCAAATTTAGTATTTTCAATTGAAAACGTATCTGATTGATCATGGTAACATTGAGATAGTCGATGGCGACGATTTGTAATGCAAATACCAACACACTGATACCCATATAGGCCAGTTGTGTGCCGAACGGCATCCAATCGGGCAATTTCACGCGGTAGGGGAATATTTGACCCGCAACACCAATAGGATCTATTTGTGAAATTATTGTAAAATTTTACGAAATTGAATTTTTCCTGACCAAAACTTACTGTAGAGCAAATATATTAGGCCAAGCACGCCAGTAAAACCCACCAGTGCGGCATAAATGGTTAACGGTATTTTATTCTCAAATTCACCACGATAAAAAGCGACTAACTGTAAAGTAATTTAATTATGTAAAATCAACTTTTTAAATACCGTTTCCAAATTTTTCATTAACCTGACTTTTTGAAACCACATAAGTTTTCGCTGAGTACTCAATTCTTCTTACCACATTAGCGACTTCATCCAGGCGATAAATAATATTAATAACCTGTATAGAAATTTACATATAAATGAGTTAATGCTAAATTTCTTCGATCTTTACCTTCAATACGCCAGCGACATGTGTCAGGGACAGGCAAATATTTTGCGTTAAACTATCCAAATTGGGCCAGCACAAAATCATATCGTAAATTTCAAAGGCCGTGTAAATGAATGTCACCACCAGCGTAATCAGCACTCCATATACACCGAGCGCAATCCTCAAGCGTGGTGACTCTGTCTTTAAGCCCACCACAGGCACCCCAAATAACTGTGCCAACCATACATTGTATTGTATTGAACCGATTTTACCTTTAGATGGATCGGACGGAAATATGCGCGAAGACAGTACTTCCAGTTTACGCATTATTGGACGCTTTCAATTTTTAAGCAAGCTGACGAAAGTGTTTGAGACTGAATGCTTGCACAAATTTATATAGTGTCAGGATTGGACTGCATTTTGTGCCCCATTTTCTATTTAGATAACTACTATATGTGAGTATTATCAAAAACAAAATGTAATACCCTTTTCAGAAATTAACATAACCCCGCTTTTAGAATCATTTTCAACGTTATTAAATGTAAAATAATACTATAAATCAAATAAATCAGCCAAACCAAAAAAAGTATTGACCCATTCAAAACCACACGTCTAAAATTCCACCCACTATAACATCTTCACAAGTGCTTTTTTTATAGTATAAACGGGTATAAAAGGGTCTTTATCTTGATTTTGATCAGCCAGTTTGTATGGCTCTACATATATGCTATAGTGATGCGATCTAAACAATACGTTCGGGGATTGTAGTGTTACCTTGGAAAATAATCTGAACCAAATTTTGTGAAGATGATTTATCATATAAAAATGTTTACCATATAAGGACTTGAGTTTGATCAAACAGCTGCTATACAAAGCTATATGCTATAGAGGTTCTGATATTAGCGCTTTCATGCAGCCTAGATCAATATCCAAAAACCTAAGGGACTAGTTTCGTGTGTATACAGACTAACAGATAGACAAACGGCCATGGCTAAATCGACTCCGCTCGTCAACGTGATCATTTAAATATAAATATAGGGTCTCCGAAGTTTCCTTTTTGGTGTTACAAACTTCGTACAGCGTATAAATAGAAACTTTCTAAAAATTTTGACTTTACAAGAGATTATGAATCTCCTCTTTTTGAAATGAATTTTCACCTTTCCTTAGAAGTAAAACTTCTTTTGGGATGAGTAAATTCCACATGTCACTTATATAATATTTATCAGAACAATAACACATTGTGTAATAGCTTACGATTATCTCATCAATTATTCCAGTTTACTAGACATATTTCCAATTAAATTGTGTTGAAAGCATCAATTTGCTTACGAGGCGCCAAGCAACTTAGCGCCTAATAAAGAAATTTAGGCATTTATTATGTAAATAATGGCGGCTAGTAGACGAGGGGTGCAATTTTGAGGTGTTTGTAAAGGCAAAGTTTGGAATGTGTTCACGACTCAATTTATTTATCGTTTAAAATTAATATAGTAAAGAGCTGCTGAGTAATCAGAGTTGATTTTGAGAACTAAATAGTTGTAAGTATACCATAAAAAAATTTCAGTATCGATTTACACACTTTAAAATATTGCAATCTTAAATTGAAGTATTCGAGAGTAAAAGT